AGATTTGAAAAAAAATTTCTTAAAAAGACATTCGAAAAGTAAAAAATCGAAAAAAAAAATGTTTGTTTTGAATTCATCCCCAAGTGCTTCACCACATCCTCGAAGACGCAAAGCTTACATCGACATCTTGCTCACCACCTTGGGCTTGTGGAGATGGCATGAGTCGAGAGTCTCTAATTACAACCGGAAGCCGTGGAGGGATCAGACCCCCCTAACAAAATAGGGGTGGGATATCCCCCCAATGCTTCCAGACACTACCAGGGGGTAGATATTGCTTTATACATCTTTATAATGTTCTCGAGTGCTCCACCCCTAAATGCGCCCATCAATGTTGAAGAAACCTCACCCCAATTTTACTGAACTGGATGATCTTCTTCTGATTGTAATGCTCACTTGGATTTTTCTAATGGAGGTACAGTGGGAGGAGACATTCGTGAAGGCAGAAAAAAAAGTTTTTTCTTTCTTCATAGTCCAGAACTGAACAGAATAAGAAACTGGGTGGGGGCCTGGAGGAAGTTGTTGGGACGAGGTTGAGCAGATGCGTTGGGACACGAAACTTGTGTCGAGGGGTTGAGCATAATAAATACGTTAGCGAGTGCTACATCCACGTGCCACGATCCTAGTTTTGAGGGAGGTTTGAAATAACCATCGGGGGTTTATCAAAATTTCTCGTATGAGCTTTCATTGATATTTTATAGTTGCGTATATTCCATGCAGATAAATTTCTGTCTGTGAAAGATCTACAAATATCAATGCCAACCAGGAGATGATCTGCTTAGTAGCTCAGAAGGATTTTTCACTATTTTCAGGCAAGCTCCAATTTGTCTAATTTGAAATTCACTCCGTTGATTCGCATTTTTTCAAAGCTCCAATAACCAATCCCTCAATTTCGAATTTTATCATGAACATTTATGAACATTTTTGTGAAGTATCTTGGTGTACTAAAAGACTACGCTGAGAAAAAACCCTGAAAAGAATCCATTTATAGTTAAGAGGAGTATTGTGTGATTTTTACAAAAACGTATTTGTCCAGATAAATCATTCGAGATGATAATCAGGCTACATATAAAATGGGACAGACTCCCAAATTATTATTCATTCTTCTTGAATGCCAAATTGTCTCATAACAAATTGGATGAACTCGTTTATACTAGTAATTACTCGAAAGTTCAGTCGTCATATGCAGAAAGAAATATTCCATAAAACTACGAAACTCACAATTCGCTCAGCAATTACGGAAATGATTCAGAGAATTTAAATTGCGGTGTCATAATTTGTCACAGGAAATTCAGATAAAAATTCCGCAACAATTCCATCAAATTTTCCTCAAATGCATTTCGTTTCAAACTATACGAAAGATATCCGTGATTTTTATTGAATTCAAAAGGATACTCTTTTCCGCGTAATTAATAGAATCGAAATTACTAAAACGCCCAGAGAATTAATGACGATTTTGAAAAATTATATATTTCATTCAAGTTATTAGACGCTTGACAAATTTTTTTTTCTAATCTATGATACGCCTAGGCATAACCTTCAATAATATATAAAAATTCTGAGCATGAGATGGTGAGAGCTTTCATAAACGTTTCGGATACAGAATAAAAGTGAGGACACATTTAATTATTATTTTTCGTTTTTTTCACACTTGGTTACTGCATAAGGATGTCTGGCGTCATGATATCCATTTTTGGATAAGTGTCTGAGTATCCCCACCAAGTAAAAAATGGCGTACGTGACCGTCTAGGTGTTTGGTACGTGATAGAGGTATTATTCGGACATTTATGTGCGATTGGAAATAATTTTTTTTCGAATATTACAATTATATTTTGCGAGCGCAAAAGTAAAAGATTTTTTGGTAAGTAAATATAACTCATACAGAACAAAATTATCAAGACTCTTTTCATGGAGAATTTCACATGAAATACTAAAGCTCCTCCGATGCTTTTTGGTGCCCAAAGAGAGATATTCAAGAAAAATTATGGAGCACTTCACGTAATCGGCAAACGAAAAAGATTTTGGGTGAGTTTATATATAGAACTGTAAGAGAAAAATTGAAAACGTTGAATAGATTTCCGGATCTGTCACTGAAAGAGTAAAATCTAATAGAAATTTCATGAATTATTATATTTAAGAGTTTTTACGTAACATTTCGTAAATTTGACGTGTTTTTCCGGTAATTTTTACTGGACTTTTCTCTCCGTGTGCAGAAAGTAGTTTGTAAGATTTTCGCAAATTTTAAATTTAAGTAATTTTTCCGGGTTTTTTTTTCAAATTCGTGTGAAGCATTTAAGGGGAATTTTATAGGAGGAATAGTAGCAGTGTGACTAAGCGCTCTTCTTAGTGGTTTCAGATTAATTTTAGCTTGAAATAATGAGTATTATACGCTCGGAGGACTATCAGAACACCCACGCGTGCAACAAGTGGTGATAAATTTGGATCTCTTTGTTCAACGATTCTTTTTATTTCGTCACTAAATTATTCCACTAACTTTAGATTCATTTTTTCCAACACAATTGTCATGATATAGAGCTCTGAATTGTGTTCTTTACATTTTTTAATGTCAAATTTCGAGGAGAATTTGGGGATTACGCTGAGAAAAAAACATTTTTATGTATAATTTTAATATTCATTTACTTCAGAAAAGTATTCCTTTTTTTGATATTGTATTTCTTCCATCAAGCTATTGTCATAAATTTCTCATCAAGTTCCAATGATTACAATTATATTAAATTGCTTTAAAGAATCGTTATGATTGTTATTAAACATTGTGATAATCATTAGCATTAAGAAATTCATGGAACTTGTTCCCTTCAAATTCTAAATCAAAAGAAAATAATAAAGTAGTCAATCCACCGGAAAATAATTTAATTGGAAGAATAAGTTTTTCTAAAAATAAATAATTACCTCAAATAAACGAATATTTGAGAAAAATGATTGTTTTTCTGAATAAAATTTTACTGAGAATCCTTTATAATATGAAGACATTAATTGAAACGAAATAATACCGAAAATGAATGGCAATTACATATGGTTGACTCAAGTTAATGAATCTGTTGTAATGCCCCTGCAAAGAGTTAAGAATGAACATAAAGTTTAGTCAGAATGACATCAACAATTGCATTAAAAAAAAAACTATGCACGCAAGAATCAACGGATCATCTCCATTGTCTGGCACCGAGCGTGCGCGCTTGCAGTTACATGTTTGTATGTACACACCTCCCCAGTTACATACTCATAACGTGTTTATATTCATTTTTAATGCTTTCCCCCTTTGTATCCACGGTCAAACTCATACATTCTATATGACATATGACGTAAGTATCATGCTCTTCGTTGTGGATAATCGTTACCCACGGTAGAACGATTCGCCTTCGTAACGCGAAAATTCATCACCGTATTTGTTCATTGATAAATCTCAGCAGGACTCTTTGTCGGAGACAACTAGTATTTATTTTTTCTTCAATTTTTGTACAAAATCAGGACTTTTATTAACCTCTATCCGACCATATCCCAAGTTTACAAATCATGTGAAACTAAATCATTAATTGAAGTTTTATATTTCTTCTCTCTATTTGTCACGAAGGAAAAAATTAGATCTCGAAGTAATAGAACAGTATTTAAGCATTTCATAATACCTTATTTCATTTTTTTATAAATCATTCATCAATAATATGAATGCATTATAAACCTCTATTTTTACGAAAAAAAAGCTGGGAAAAAAATTATATTCTTTCGGAAATATAATGAAAATAAAACTAAATGTCCATGAATGCATTCAAAATTTATATGATGTGATTGAATTAAGAAATTTTATCACTAAAAGTTTCAGAGTATACAGTATGGCCCACATGGCCCCGGTGGCTGCCTTACAACGGATAGGTTCCAGGTTCGATTCCTGGCTGGGTAGAATGATGACATCTAACCAATTAAAATCTTGATCACCATTGCCATATACTCTAACGGAGTCGAAGCGATGTAAAATAACCATAAAAAAAAGACTATCAATATAATGTCAAACGAATTTCTCTATTTAATGCTCGATCATGATTTATTTCTTACATTCATGGACATCCATTTGCTGTGAAAAATCATTTTTTCGGAGGAAAAAAAATGCAGTCGTTAAGCCTTGTGACTTCCATACCTTCGAGAAAAAAAAACTCAAGATGTTTCCGAATTTTTAGTGAGGGTGAGGAGAGCCAGGCGGTAATAGCAGCAGCTGATAAACAAGCCATAGGGGAGCGTGAAAAGGGAGAAATGGATATCAACGACAAAATTTCCCAAAAAGGGAAAATTACTAAATTCATTTTCTGGAATGCCAGATTATCTTGCATCGTAAATATCGTGGTAATGAGATACTTCAGTGGGGACTTTGTAAACCTCTTTCAGAGAAGTGTAAATTTTCAAGTACTCCTGCATTTCCTTGCATTTCCACAATTTCCAATAACTAATAAATAATGAAAAAATGCCCATTTATGAACACCAGATGAAATTATCAGGAATATTTTCTCCGTGATTTAGATTTTATCGAGGATATGGCCCACTATACGTTGCAATTTATAAACAAAACGAAAACCACTCAAATAAAATGAAGTAAGAATTAAAAAAAATTTCTGTGACTTGAGAAAATTATGCAATTTTTTTAATTTGGTTATTTTTTTGCATCTAATGTAACTACTCGTGCCACAGTCTTTAATTTCGTTGTAGATCCTATCTATGGGTTGACGTAACAATGAGAAACTCCTTTTTGCCACGTCGCAACGCTTTCGTTTGTATTGCAATCGAGGGAGTTGAAATAAAAATGTCGTTTTGTCCCTAGATCTCCGTACACTCATTGTTCCCTATTTTCCTACACTTTGTCTGGGTATTTTCAATGGAAATAAACATGAGACGGTGTATTTATTTTCCATTTTTGGGTATTTGGAGATTTATTTTTGGAGGTGATGAGAGATAAATGCTATTCATTAAAGAGAGATAAAGGATTGAATAGGGGGACTCACCGTCGAAGGCCCTAGGGGGCAGTGGTGGAACACTAGTGAGGGTTTGTTGAAGGGCTGAGGGCGGCTGTGCCTGCGGTTGTGGCTGTGGCGGTGGCTGTTGCTGCGATGGGTTTCGGGCTCCTGATGAGGCTGAGTTAGTCGAGCTCGCTGGGGTTGCAGGGCTTTTATGCTCTGGTGTCGTCACCGAATTATTACCACCCTGGTAGCCCAGAAAGTTCTCCAAGTCCGGGACACAGACGCTTTCATAGAGATTCGCTGGCATGTTTTCAAGGGATGCCTTCTCTACTTCATCTTCTGCAGCATGAAAAATCCAAAATTTTATTCTCAATCCTTTTTTTTTCGTGGGATTATTTCTACAGTACGAATATGTCGGAAATAAGTTTTTGAGGAACATTCTTGGAAATCATCTTGCGAAATCTAAAATTTGGTGTCTTTTGTATCTAATCTAAATTTTTGTCTAATTCATACACAATTTATATTATATATTTTTTTATGTAATTTTCGAATTTTGGAGTGTGAAAATAGAAATGTTAAAATTGCATTCTTTAATCAGAAATTAAAGATTAGAAATTGGAATTATTAATTGGGTATTCGAAGTTTGAGAGAATGAAATTTTGTACGAAAAATTTGTTTTTTTTCTAATCTGAACTTCCCGAATTCTGAATTCCTAATTTGTAATTACTTCCGCGTTCCAGAATCATTATTTTTGTTTACCTGGAAAGCAACTGAATCTATTTCGCCCAAAATCCCCTTTAACATATTGCATTCGATTATTCATCTTTTGAATGGAACATTATAGAACTCCCAATTCATTCAGGGATTACGGAAGCGATTCAGAAGATGTAAGTAATAGTGTTGTAATTTTTCGAGGAAATTCGGAAGAAAATTCCGGAAAACTTTAATAAAATTCTGTAACACATCCGGGAAATTTTAAGATGCGTAATTTTTACAAAATATTTCCTTCCTTACGAATTAGTGGAGTGAATTTCCTCCCAGACTTGACTAATATTTTAATTTATTTCTGAAATAATGGGTGAATCGTATTTCATTTAATTGGATTGAGAAATTTGGTGCCATGTAGAATAAGGACACTTGACTGATTAAAAGTGTCGAATTGAAAGCGAAACGACACATGCGAGGCAAAAGGGTAAGTTTCACCTGCCCCTGCATTATGCCCTCAAGGCCAAAAGTTTCTTTATTTTCGTCTCTCCAATCTCTGCAGCTCCTCTTCTTTCTGCAAGAATCCCCAGTTTCTCAATTTCCGTTCGCATTAGAGAAATCAAAGACGATTACCACCACGCTAACGTGATTTTCGTGTAACATTAAATCCGGTTGTTTACCATTTGCCAATTTTATTTTCTTCTTTTTTTCTATTGTTTTAGGAAATAGGAAATGCATTAATGAGCATTGAGAAAACTTGGGAAATTCATTGCATAACATCAATTAAATTGTAAACATATAATAATTAACAAAAGTTAACACATGGAAACGTTGAAAATTTAACTTCATCTTTCATCGGATTTTTGTAAATATCGAAAAACTGTTTAGAAATTGTAGATATAATGACTACATGACGAATTTTATTTTCATTTGAAGTAGGAAATTTCCAGAAAATCCTTGCAATTACGAAATAATAAAGAGAAAATTCTGATGATCAAAAATCTTTTTTTAAAATATGATTATAAATTTTTCAAGCAACAAATGAACGGAAGTATATGAAGAAAGAAGTTAATAACAGTTTTTAAAGGTCGCAAATAACAAATCGTTATGTACTCTAATTACAACCACTATTCCAGCAATTACACGTCATTACACATCTTGGTACACTTCATTATTCCTGTAAAAAAAATTGAAGAAACCTCTAAAAGAGCATTAAAGAACTCCGAAAAATCACTTAAGTGGCTTTAATAATGGCGGCTATAAATTGTGGAGGCAGAAGACATCCGGTGTGAATTCTAAGGCTTCTTTTTACGTATTCATTCTCCCCAAATGGAAAAAAAACCTCGAAATTCACTGGAAATCCTCCCATTTTGAGGATTATCAAGATACCTGCGCCATTTGCGATTTTCCGAAATACGATAGGGGCGATTCCATTCCCTCGATGAATAAAAATCCAACAGGATGTATCCGAAGACGAGTAGAATGCTCATTTTTTCCTTTTTTATTCAGTTTTTCCGATTATTCTAATCGACGGCTTGAGTTTCGCGGTGAAAAATATCAGCAAGTGGGTGGGGTAAAGCGGTAGTTGTAGTGGTGGTCTTTCATCGCTATGGAATCGCTTGGATTGATCGTTTCCGGTTGGTGTCCAGGGTCCCCAGGTGATATCTTACGATCCGATCAGTGGAACAAACACGATTTATGAACGGTGGAAAGACTACAGGAGGCTACTGTGATTTTAATCCGCAATTGACGCCATTGTTGTTTAAACTATTTTTCTCCAGTCTCAGTGAACAATTACTTGATCCAACACTATTAATTATAGGGGAGACACAGAAAAAGCTCAATGTGAAATACGAGATCTTCAACGTTAATTACCCTTTTTCCAATCGTTTAAATAACAAGACTAAATGTTTAAATTATGGGACTGGGGCAGGTTTTTCAAGTCCCCCAAGGTTTTACGTCGCCCCATTCTCTCGTACATATTTGTTTATTTCTTTAAACAACACTGTTGAGAGAAAAATCTATCCTTTTTCTGGCGATATTTGTCAAAAGAATGGATTTACTAAATGAAATATCAAAAGACCATTTCACGCCATTCCTCATTTTCTAGATGCTTTGACGAACAAAATCTTTCGATGTTTTCCACTTAAAAGATATATTTAGATACATTGCTTGCAAAAATATTTTTCTTTCGAAGATATTCGTAGAATTATTCTCGTTAGTGTTGAATTAATTGATTTTGTTGAATTATTTATTGAAGAATGTTGAGATTTAGGGCTGAGTATGGATGAGAGATGGCCTTTTGGAGGTCAATTGAGAATCTCTAGGGCGTACCTTTTTGGAGCAGCTCCAAGTGCTCCCACAGGATGTCACCCATGAAAGCTGGGGCACGTGCCAGGAAGGACTCTTTTCCCATAGCACAAATCTGCTTTCCAGTGAGTTGTTGCCAGGGCTGCATCGCCACACCCTCCAGCGAAAATTCTCTTATTGCCCAGTGCAGCCAGTGGGCCACTGCTGTCTCTGACCACTGCCTCGGATCTAAAAATTAAAATATTAACAAAATTACTACTAATACCAAAATTAAAACCTCTTCTTATACTGTGGAATTCGCTAGAAAAATAATTCTCAAAGTACATTACTATTTCGAACTCATATATTATAGTAATTTATGTTAGAACACCTGAAAAACATTGTCCTGACAGATGCAATCTCGATTTTGCGACTCTAATTACGTAAATTATACTTTCGAACTCGTGAATTAAAGTTAAGAAGTCATACATCCCATAAAATCATATATATATAATTGAAAAATGGAATGTTTTTTTGAGTATAGTATCACAAAGAATTCTCAAGTTTAGGTGAATTCTTGAAAAAAAGATTTTCCTCTTTGCAAAAGAGAAAATCTCTGATTCACGTAAAAATATCGAGATAAGTATCTCATCGAAATGGCTATGAGAACTCCACTTCTCCCTATATACTGATAAGGAAGAAGTACACAGTGCACACACATAAAAAATCGTTTAAAAAAATTGTACGACGTTGAAGCTGATGTATACCGAGAACCAGTGGAATGTCCCATTTGAGGTTCGCACCCATATTTGCGTGTATGTAGAGGGGGAGGGTGCATTGTTTCGAGGTATCTCATCGAGTCGTCAGTCACATTATTACGAACGGAGTGCCAGTGCCCTCCGTTGGCTGCATTAACATTGGAATCATAAATTAATCATTTCGTATATCAAGTCAAAAATGTCTCCTGCATAAATCAATTATTCACCGAAAAGTCTCTTCTATAAAGCAATCCATAAAAAAAAAACATCTACCGATTCGTTAATAATCATCTTCATCAGCAGATTACAATTAAAAAATTAATGGTAGTTAACGAAATTAAGAGGCAAAATACTTATTCTAATTATTTTTTTATAAATTGTAAATTCTTGTTTCTGTTCTGTGTTTTTCTCGAAAAAGTCGTACATAATTTTTGATAAAATTATCCTGACAGAATTTCCTACTCTCCAATTCAGATCTTAGATAAATAATTTAGAATAGTTGGAAAGATTTATGCCCCTCAATCCGATAATATCATACGAAAAAATTCTATTAATCTCAATAAAAGTAACGACGAAAAAACGGTAAAAACAAAAAAATCTGATTGCGTAGTCAGAAATGAACAAAGGAACTCGTTCGATCCGGACGAGGGCCTTTTATGAATGGAAACACCGGTAGATCGTAGTTCGTGGAAACCGAACCGAGCTCACACGAACGTAACGAAAACGAATAGCATATGTACACGTGAAATAGAGAGACGAGCCAATCCAGGCAAAACCAAACGTATGTACATGACTTCAGCGATAAATATAGTGATAAGATGAAATATAGACGTCCGATTTTTCTTAACTAATTTTAAGACTAAACCTTCAAAATAAACCGTTGAAAACCCTATTTTAAGACTAATTCTTCGATCCTTTCACTGTTGAAAATATTTTCCGATCGGGAATCGATTATGGATAATCAATTTTTATTCAGCCAAGTCAGACATCAATAACAGGTAGAGGCAACAGTCCAATTCCTTTGGTGTCAGAGTTTCGCCGCTTTTCACTCAAAGATTTTGCCTCGGGAATTAGAGAAAAACAATGAAGAAATTCTATTTCCATTAATTATTCAAATTTTCAAATCATATTTGAATTGGGGCATTCGATTTTGTGGAAAAAATCAGTTAACATATTGAAAAAATAATTGAAAAATATGGAAACATTGTGACAAATTTTGTTGTGGATCCATTGTTTCTGTAAGTTTTCTGTCGAATGATTGCTTAATGAACAACTTGACAACTTGATTTGTATGCAGGGAACCTTGAGAGAATCGTTGAATAAATTTTCATAGTCGTGTGGTTTCGGGGGATTATTTTTCCAACCCAAACGTCAGCTAATAGAATTGCAACATAAGACGAAACTCCAAGTTAAGAAATGAGAGATCCATGATTAAATTCAAAGTGTCACTTTGGCGAGGAGTTATTCTGACAAGATGTTGTTTTTTTATATGTCAACTACCAGGCAAAATTACCAAAAAATTATCAGTTGAAGACCCATTATGGCAGTTCTACCGGCTGACGTTAGACTTTGGAAAATAATCATTGAAACTGTTAAAATCACGAAAATGTCACATGAAAATACTTCGAAAATAAAAATAATACATATAAACATGGAAGAAAACCTTAATTAAGATTACGTATTTCACTACCAAGTTCACTACCAATTACGGAATTGGAAAATTCAGATAAACAAACAAATAAATAAACAAAATAAATAAACGGAAAAGATGCGTAATTTTCATTGAATATATTTTCTCTACGTAAACGATGTGACGAACGTAGGGGTGTTCGTGAAGGTTAAAGTCTGCGAGTGAATGACTTTTTTTTAGATAAATTACGTTTGAGAGATTCAGTCACCAGGCGATTATAGAGAGTGTTGAAAGGTTGACGTGAGTGCTGGACGTGTTAACTTGAATGAAAAATATGGTATTAGGGTCATGAACTTGAAATAGAAATTGAGAAAGAGTCATGCAACCAATTGGAGAGACCAGAAGAGAACACTTGGAGGCTAACAGAGCGATGAAGGTGGGGTTCCCTCGGATCAAAGGACACCGACACTGTTTGAGGATTGCGACCGATGTTTGACCAGCGTTTATTTCACTCGTATATTGTTAACAGACTTGAGAATTATGTGCTCTTGCTTTCACACAATGTTCTGTGGTTTTTTTTCTTTTAGTGATGATTGAATCTTCGAGTTTAGATAAGAAGTTCACCTGTACTCGGATTTTCTGTCGGTGTCTGTTCTTGTTTTTTTGCTTCTAGAGTTAGAGTTCGCTCATGGCAAGATAAATATGGGATTAAAAGTAATTTAACAACTCTCTGAAGAACATCCTGAGGTTTAATTTACGTTCAAATTGTCGTCAAATTGGAGTTCACAATATAATGAGAATTTTATGCCGAATTTTGAGTCTTAACCGTTTGAGAAGAAATTAATACAAAACATTTCAGGAAGCGCCTTTTTCTTTCTCTTCTTTCTTTTTACTGACCTAAGAATGTTTACGAATGGTTTAAATGAAAGACAGCTCCGTAACACTCAAATTACTAATTAAATTGACTGAAAAAATAGTATTTTTGCCAAGTACGTGAAGTACTTTGCCAAGATACTTGAAGTAATACAAATAAAGAAAATAAATTTAAATTCTTGTTTCAAATTAATTTGTTTCCCACAAATTTATTTTATTGGTAGACATAATTTATTTTCACGTTGTGAACGGTTAATTTCGTATATTTTCAAAATATATCAGAAATTAATTGTTCCAAAATAAATCGTGATTATATGTACCTCTATCGATAAATAATCTTACGGAAATTTTGGATTTATCTTATACGACCATTCTGCCACATAAATGAAATCTTGGTTCTATTTCCAGATGCAAAGGAAACTAGCTGTTCACCCAAGATTTTATGACTTTTTCACACAGGTATTTGGACAAATCAGGGATGTGTTGATTTAGGTGGAGTTCACCTGTTGCCGAGGTTGGGCCGATTCGAACGTCATAAAACAGTTTTCAATTGGAGAATTTTTGGAGAAAAGTAAATACAGTCCTGACATGTTTTATGAAGTTTTCAACAGCTCGGTTTCTTCCCAACACTACCGAGTACGTTGTGGTTGTTATCTCCATTCGAGTGAAGATTATGAATGACCAGGTGGCAAAGAAACTTCAACTTCGAAACCTTATAAAATAACTTGAATTCTAAAAACTTATCCCAGCGATACATTGCGGTAGTATTTTCCTTCAAAAAATTATTAGAACATAGTTGCGAACCCAATAAACCGAAAGAAAAATATAATGGAGCTGTTGCAAGCAGTCTAACATGATGTCTACCATATTCCCGAAAGATTTCACTAACAAGCCTCCGGACATAGGAGTAGATTAAATAGTGCAATAGTACTACACAAGGAGTAGATTAAATAGTAAAAACTATCATATAACTATCATATAAGGGAAAATATTATGACAATGCAGTAAAAGGATTTTACGCACCATAAATATTTATTCTTAATAGTTCCTAAATACTTATCGGTTCTATATTTTTGGATAAGAACTACTATAGTCTACTTTAATATAATCTGGCTAAGATTAGCAGGATAAATCGTAATAGTTACTAGTTCATGGTAACTGTTACCATATTCATAGTAACAATTACTATGTGACATACTGGTCTCGCCAATTGTGTTTAAAGTGTGCTATAGGTGTTTTTATCCGACGATATAGGAAGAATGACCATTTCGGGGTCCGTTGCAAATCCTTTTAGTATGATACTATCTATGCCATAGCATGCCTTCTATAATGAGCATGATAACACTTACTATTAAATTCTCCCGGTGTACATTTTCGGGAGTTGTACTATATCAATACGATAATAGCAACTACGTAAACATGGTAATGCTCACTGCGCAACTGGATTATAAGGTAATATAGAAAGATTAGCATTTCACATAGTAATACTGAGTAATGCTCAGTACATCAACATACTACATTGGCACAGTGACATGACAAAACGATAATAGTTAGCATGTCACCTAGCAAGGGTTATTGTGTAACATGGACCATGACATACTCTAAGGTAAAATATGAAAAATTAGCGTGTCAAATGGTAATCCATTTGACAAATGGTAATCCATTTGACACGCTAATTTTTCATATTTTACCTTAAAGTACCCTAGTAACTATGTAAACATGGTAATGTCCACTATGTAACGTGATAATAGTGACAACATCATATACAATAATGATTATCATATGAGTAATGCTATCTATGTAACATGACAGTAAGATATTTTATCACTGAGAGGTTTATCATGTTCCAGATTAACCATTTCCAGGTCCACATCGATATTTACTAAATTTTGAGAATATTACCCCGACGCGGATTCTGCCAGAGGAGATTTTTACAATTTAATGATCTCGGTGTAATTTTATCAAATGATCAAAATCTTTTCATTCATCAAGATGAATCCAACAAAAGGAGAAAAAATGAGAACACGATGATGAGGAAAAATAACGTGTGTGTCAGGCAATGCTATGGCAATCTGGGTGGAATCGTGAATGCGATGTTGATGGCACTCTTGATGGGGAGCCGATGCCACACATCCGGTATGCGCATTCAGAGCCACGCGGGTGTGACGTTACTTCCGGTCTACATGCCCTCACTCAGTTGGGATATATAGCGAACCTCTTCTCAGCTAAACACGCACAATGAGTTGTACATGTATTTGTAAAGCAGGGAGAGCAGGGAGAGCAGGGAGAGCAGGATCACCTCGTCTGACCTCTGTGAACCGGGTGAACAGAGAGCGTTCCACTTCGTGTACCTTCGGAGCGTCAACTCAACTCATGCCCGACGCTCGTGCGCTCCATCCTCCTTTTGTTGAATTGTGGATAAAATAATAGTACGCCAGTAGGCACGTGTTCAAATGAACTAGAAAGATGTCCATCAATTTCTTTTATTTCGTTTGACAGCTTTTCATTGTCTCTCCATGTCTTGGAGAAACTCTAGATCCTCAGGATGGAGGAGTGGAAATTATGCAGGGGATCGATTCAATCAGGGTGAAGTGGATATAGATTTTTTCTCTTTCCAGCTGTAGAATTGAGAACTGGGGAAATTGTAGGGAATTTGCTTGGGTAAGAAGATATTCTCGAGAAAAGGGTTGGAGAAATGTAAGAGAACCTTTTTTAGGGTTGAGCAAAATACCAGAGCATTTTTTTTTTATTCTTTATCAATTCATGTGTTTCGGAGTTTTGGAAAAAATTATTTGCTGGTTTACTTATACTTCAAGGAATATTCATTTTAATACTGAAACTATAACTGAAAAATCATACAAAATAGACGAAAAAGTAAATCCTTGAAAATTTATAAATATCTCATATTTTCCAAAAAGAACAATATTGATAATGGCTTATTAGAAAATGTATAATCCCTCAGTTCAACTCAAAAACTTCAAACCAAGTATTGTTCGCCGTTAAAAAAACTTACAACAACAGCAAATGAGGAGTAAAATCCATAGTAAAGTTGGATTATTTCTTGTTACAAGTAAAAACTTTTAGTAAAGGCGTCAGTAAAAAAGTGGCATTAATAAGTAAAAACATGCTGCGTGTAATTACTCTTAACACTTGAAGATTTCAACTTTCTTTCTGACCTATTTTTCATGCCCATTGGTGCATCCATTGACTTGACATCAGGTAAATAGTTTAAAAAAGTGAGAAGAGGAGAAATGTTGAAGAATTGCCAGCAGGATTATGTATACCTACATTTTAATGCGACGTTGGAAAATGGTGATTTTGATTCACGCAAACTGGGAGGGTGTTTCACAGTGCGTAACGAGGGCCTGATTCACCTCACCATTGCGACTAGACTATGTGTTGCAATTTGTTATTCATATGTGTATGTGTGTATGTGTATTCAAAGACTACACGAAATGCTGTATCAACGAGCCGTTACTCAGTAATCGGTCAACGGATGTCTTGTTGCACATATCAACGTTTTTATTTCGTCTCTCCCACATGATTTTTATACCCATAATTGCGTAAATTTTCATCGTTTCAACTTTAATACGATTTCAAAGCCTACAACAATAAGAATTCAATTTGAATTTCCTCATTAAACTCTTTATGAAAAATATCATTACAGATTTTTCAGAAAATCTATTATTATCAATTATATTTATCTATTTTATCAATAGAGCATCTATTTTTCAATTTTTCTTGAGAAGAATTGAATTTTCTCAAAACAATCTTGGGAAATCTTCACGTGCATTAAAAAACAAAATCTTCAAAAACAAGTCTTATTTGGTGTAAGTAAATCAATTAGGAGTGCGCATTCGCGAAGTTAAACAAAAATTGTAATATTCACATCGGAAAATAACTCCCCTAAGTTTGTCAGTTGAAAAAATTGGAAACACTCAAAATATTATGCATGACAGCGTGGATTCTACGCCAATAAAAATTCATGCTGTTTGCATTTCTAGATTTCTTCAAGAGATTAGAAATACTGTGAGGACAAATCAACCTGGCTGGTGAATATGGCAGGTGTGCAAAAAATTTTCAGTCCATTTCTATTATATATTTTTTAGAAGGTTTTGCGGTATGTGCATTGTCCTGGAGCAAAATTAATTTCTCATGACATTTGACAATTTTTATTGCAAGTTTCGATTCAATTTCATTAGTTGCCTATATATACTACAATTTTGGTAATGACTCCGTTTTTCATCATCAGTTCCAATTCGATGCAAAAATAACTTCTTTCGAATCATTCGAGCAACAATTTCCAAAAATATACAACCACAATTTGATACGGTCGGAGTAATTAACTATTCGAATTACCGAACGATTATTTTTATTGACAATCAACTATTTTGCCGTGAAATAAATTATCTCTGACCTCTTGATGATAGCGATATGTTATAAGATCCTACAGAAAATTTAATTTTCATATCTAACATTTACAAAAATGTTTTAATTCGATGGTTGAAGATTACCGTCGATAAAATCACCCCATTTAGTTCCATTTCTAGTGTCTAATGTTAATGAACGACTACCGCCTTGATATAGCGGTTCATTTAATCATTCGAGTATTAAAATATGAATTATTGAATTGAACAGACCATCAATGGTCTGTAAATGAAGGGTAAATGTTCGTGGAAAAACTATTAAAATGGCGGAAAAAGGGCCTTATTTTATAAAATTGAGATTTGGCTGTTGGCGCTGAGACAGAATTTTTTTGAGTTCTATTACCCCGACGTAATTTCTGAACTTCAATGAATTTTCACATTTAACTTATTTATAAGGTATTTTTATATTTGCAAATTATTTATTTCGTGTCCAATAAAGTTCATTGATCCTTTATAATACCTGATTTTTAATGTGATTCTAACACGACGTTTTAGTACCACTCCAATTTTATGGTATAAATATTTTTTGTACTATACTTCTAAACTAAAAAAAATACATTTCGCCATGCGGTAGATAGTATTGTAAAAATCTTGGAGCCCTCTTTGACTGTTTATGATAAAAAGTTTCACTGTCAGTAATTTCCGACGTATTTTTAATTTATGAATTAATTTTGAATGAAATAAGACTTGTTTGAGAGAAACACTTCTTTTAGTTGCAATCTATATTTTATCTATAGTGGAAGGAAAATGCGAAAATGGAGTAATTTCGTTACATTTTACGTCCTCATGGCAAATATTAAATTTGTAATAAAAATGATGATACCTTTGGTTATGTTGAGGCGAACTTGTTCCTTTTCCCAGGATGCGAATGAGGCCTTCAGGGCCTCGGTCATTTTTTTATTCGTCCCCGGCGTTAATGGTGGCACTTGCGCCGGGATATCTGTAATTAAATATTTTATCGTATCAATAAATTTATGCATTTTCGGATATATCTGGGTAGTAAATCTTTTTCGTTACCGCAATTTTTACGAAGAATAGATCACCCGATTGGAATAGTTCTATTAAGTACTAAGTGTAGAAAATAACTAATCATCATTTATCAAGTATCTAAAAAAAATGAGGGTTTGAGAAGAAAATATAAAATTTCATGTTTTTTATATTTTCTCGTTGAGTTATTTAATAGTGCTATAATTCAATTATTAATTAACCATGAGTAATGAGGTATTCTTCATTTCAATTTTGTAATATTTTCAATGACAAATAATATAAGAATGGATTATTTTTATTTTTTTTTCTAGAAAGCAATGTAACCATTCTAGTATTTAATATCAGTTGTCACAATCTCTTATCCCCACATAATTGTCAAGCGTCGTTGATTTTTTCTTCCCCTTTGGAATTCGAGGATTTCAACAGCCTGGAAACAATTGACGTTATGTACATCCCCCTCTCTCATTAATAAGGCGAATTAATTGTAAGCACGTGGTCTCCTGTGGTCACTCGGTTGCTCCCCTTCCCTCACAAATTCCCAGTGTGGGAAAAAGTTTATGGTAATTGCAATCGATATGCTAACGAGAACCAGTATTGATATGACAACGAAGTGAATCGAAGGCAAGATACGTCATTAGAATACCTTGTCAATACCGTGACTCAAATTGTAGATTCTTTCATTTTCAGAATATTTGTAGGACAATGGGGGAACGACAAATGTTTTTGTAGAACTCATGAATATTTATTTATCTAATCAATTCCATAAACTGGGACTTTACGTGAAAACAAATTTCTGAAAATTCGAATTTCTAATTTTTCCACTGTTGGCAGATGGCTGTTCTTTTCGAAATCTCTTTTTGATTTTATACTGTCACTTTTCAGATGATATTGTTGATATGTTATTGAGATTGAAAATAAAAATCACCACCTGGTAATCCTGGATTTTTATTTTCTAAGATGGAAGGAACCAATTGAAATGGCTAAACTTGAGATATTTTTTATATAATACTTATACATTGAAGGTGAATAATATATTTTATTAGTTAAAGGTTGGAAATAAAATTATACTTCGTGCAGAGTTGACTACAAATTTTCAGGACAGTAACACGCAGAGCAATTTAGGTAGAAAAAAATCGAGAAATTTCACTAAAATTATTAGACGATCGAAATTTCTAGAATGCCCCACAGAAAATTCAGGGAATAAATTCTAAAAGTGCACAGACAGAACGGAGTAGTTGTTGCTAACAAATGCATTTGTGCGGTTAGCAATTTCGCGTTAATCTCCATCACAATGTCATCTAAATTTTCAAATATCGGAATTTGAATTCAATTGCAAACATTTACTAAACTTCTCATTCATCTTGAAAATTTAAGAGAATTGTGTTTTTCGTGTTACATGATTATGAATTTTTGGATGAAAAATTGAATTTTCCGTCTCTGACAATCGAACATCAAATACAATTCAATGTTTAACATTTTGTTTAGTGTTATACAGTCCTGGAAATTGAGTGTTATTTTAATATTTAGAAATCGACAGAAATGTCATCTGACTTGTTTAAAATTTCAAGTTTTTACGATACGATACGATTTTAAGATACGATCTACCCCACTGATCATTCATTAATAGTTACCGAATATTCATTTAGTTCTATTCAAATCGACCATTCGGCATCTACTTGGAACTCTCATTCGGTGCAACTAAATAGTCTCATTATCTGATGTGCCAGAGAATGTAAATAATTCGAAGGATCAGTCATAAAATAAATTAATGCCTCATGTGTTCTCGAGGCTGAAATTTGAATCGCGGCAGTAGTGCAAAAATTGAGAAAAAATAAAAAAAAGACAATTGGATAGCTATCAAAACTAACGTGGTGCAACTATCCTATCACTATTGTCGTCCTATTACTGCGCTGAAAATGTAAATAATACAAGAGCTTAGTTTTGAGAGGGAGTAATGCCCCATTTGTTCTGGAGGCCGAAATTTTAACCGCGCCTAGCAACTCAAAAATGAAAAAAAAAAAATAAATAAAACAAAAACAAAAACGATGAATAAGAAGGGCCTACAGTTGCCATAAGGTGATTGTTGCTTCTGTAGGTATTCACCATAGCGATGCACATGCACCTGCACCTGTCAGCCAGTTGCGTTCCCTCACCTCGTAACGACGATTCCTATCTAGGAACCTCGTGTTGTTTACTCCATGACTATTTGAGTGTCGACCCTCAGGAGTCTTTCTCCCTTGTCACACCTGACGCACTTTTATTTTTTTTTCCAGTCAAGTCGTGGTGAGAAGTAGAGTTAAGCTCATTTCTCACATGCACATGGGTCTTAATGAAACATTTTTTTCATGGGGTTGTACGTGCTTTTTTTATGGATTAGAAGTACTTCGAGAGATGGGGGAAAATGGGGGAATGAACAAGTGTAGGACACCTGTTGACGTTTATAGAGCTGTTATTGATAACCTTAATCGTTTGACAATGAATTTCGGAGGACAATTGACAATAATCAATAGATAAACGGGATTTTATTTGAATTTATTGGTCGATTAAGAATTTTGAACTTTTTGTTTTCGAATGAAAGCTTAGCATTTGTTCCAATTTATATTTATGATTTTTTGGGTCAGGGTAACAAGATGGTGTGAAAAAACCCAAATGCCCCGTTGTTTTTGATTTATTTCAATTATTTAAATAGCCTTTAGAATCGCATGGATGAAAGCCGTAAATATCTGAGGAGTTAGAATTTTGTGTGAATGAAAAACGGTTAAATAAATTTAATAACAATTCAAATTTCATTTATCATAGACTGCGTAAGGTATCACCATTTTTTTCAACAATTTACTTTTAAACGATTTCTTAGAAAGTTGTCATTGACGCGAATTTACTCATAGTTTAGAGAGTTGGTATAGATAGCTTCTTGATTGTATCAGATCATCATCGGTTCTTTGTTTGATTGAGCATGACGTTTGACAATTTTAAGATGAAAAAAAAAGTAATGTACTCTTATATTCAGCAATTATACTCTTGGTTGAATGGTCTCTATTTAATGTTGAAATAATCCCAGTTTAATTCAGATTATGTCTTAACTACGTCTTGATTAACACCAGACTAAAGCTTGACGACATCAATTTCAAATATTCAATTATTAAAAAATGATAAATGTGAGTATTTATTTGGAAACGAATGAACTACACCGAAAGGAAAAAATATGGAACTGTCGACTTGTTTGAGTTTCTCATGAAAAAATATTTGTTTTGAGAAAGTTATTTGTGGAAAATCATTGTGAAATGTCCACTGGATCTGATAAAGGAATACAAATTAAAGAATGACAATTTAAAGCCACAGTGCTACAGTGCTATTTTGAAATGAACACTAATGAAGAATAGTATAATTTCAAACAAAGAAATGAAATAAGTCTATTTCATTGTTGCTCATTGTTTGATTAAAGTGAATGTAAATTAATGTTTGACCCTAATGATCCACATGACACTTGACACTACCAGGTAAGTTTACATAAATTTGCATATACGTCTGTGCTTGCCTCATTCTGTGCCTTCAACCACCCAAAGCAGCACAAAAGGGATTGGGGAGTCAAAAACTCATTTCAATATCTGCCAACTATTTCTTTCTTTTCTCTTGTCTCTTTTATTTTTCAACTCATCCGATAACCTCAATTGGCTTTTACAAAAGCGCATTCCCATGTAAAGGAGAATAAGTTATTCAGTTTCATCGAGAGGTATTTTAACGTCCAAGGGGAGAAATCGAGATGGGGGTGGAGGACGAAGATAGATGAAAGATGATAATGTTTGGCTTCTTATTAACGTGTAGAGTTTGAGCACGTGCTTAGAAGTTATGGAATAGCAGCCCAACAACTGTGCCAGCTGGTGCTGACCTTCACTTTATTTCTTGTCTATATAATGCTGGATGGATTATTACCAAAATCCAACGGGTCCAATGCGACATATGGCGATGGTCGGCTAGACCAGAAGGGATGAGGGATTAAGATTAGGTTGAGAAAATTAGTGCCTCAATGCTAACTCTCCGAATTTCTTGGAAGTTTCAAATAAGAAATAAAAATAATGGGAGAAGGATTAATCCATGAAATAATAATTAGGGAGTGGTTTTTCAAAAATTACTTTAGGAAATTGTGATATTAATCTTTACATCGTATGCTTACATCAGCCTTCCAGAACGTGCTATTTCATCGGTTCCAATCGATTAAAAAAAAATTTTTTTTTTTCGTCCCGATTAATCGGTTAAATCATCATTAATACAAAATTATACGGTTTGTTACACCGAGAGAATTACTTCCAGCAAGTATATTTATTTGGATGACGAAAATTATTTCAGGGGAAGTGAGTTTTTTTTTCTCAGGGTGAGAACTTAAAAAAAAGCTTTATGTTGATTTTTAGTCACTCAATATGGGGTATGAAAATATTTCAAATAAAGATTTATCTAACTGGGAAAAACATAAAATTATTTATTAATGATTACACTCATAGGTTTTACCTCCTTTATTCAATTGTACAAAGAAAAAAACTAAGGATGTTTAACCGATAGCGATAATAGTCAATACAGTCTACTTTTTTTTTATATAATAGCTGACAGTATGAACTATACGCAAGTCATAGTCTGACCCCCAATCCGTCCATTTTAACGAAATGATAATTAGTAAAAACACCTGTCTGTAAGACAGAGTCTTAAAGGAAAAGGGCATGCGTTAGCTTTGATTGAAAAGGGCACTGGGATACGCACTGAACATCATTTTAAAAAATTCACTCATTTACTTGACAATATGGGGAATAGAGAAATTCGTGATTAATTTCTGAGAAGATCTGAAAAAAGTGGCCAGCATTACGATTCTAAAATATTGACAACGTTGCTCGTACAGCTGAGCAATGTCGGCAAGGTAGATGACTATAAGACAGTGATTGCAGAGCACCTCACTAAATGCGGTGT